TAACTTTGAGGCCTGTGCGTGGATTGTAAGGGAATATATGAAAAAAATCTGACGGAATGCACTCAACATTATTGGAATTCCAATACTCTTTACCACACTAATCTGATACTACTCTAGTGTAGATGGCCCAGAGTTAGCTTAACTTATTTTTATCAGGAATTCAATTTTGACAGACTTCGTGGAAAGTAGTTCTTGGATGGAACACCTTGGACCTGGGTCATATACAGAATACAAAATATCAAATAATCTTGATCATATGATTTTTGCAATCCTGGGTCTCTAAAGTGACGGCAAGACACAAGAAAAAGGGGGGCATTTCTAGATGTATTTCAGAGGGATAAATAAATACAACTAGAAAAAGAGAAAAAGAGAGAGAAAGACAGAGAAAGAAAAGAACAATTTTTTTTTGTTTTATTTATTCTATAATTAAGGTTTGATGCATTCTTAATTTCCTGTAAAGGATGGCTATTCTTTAGTGGAATAAATCTACGCCTCCTTACTCAAATGAAACTGAGAAGGGTGCTTGGTATTGATATGTCAATCCAACCCCTATTTTTTAGATCAATGATCAAGGTTCTTCAAAGTGAAACATATGTTTTTTTCAGTTATACCACCAAACAGAGACTAAAGATAACTTGATTGGATGGGATGATGATTGAGGCATAGTTTTAGTAGAAACAGAATGAAGTGATCATTCAGAGAGAGACAGAGAAGTAACTTAGAAGAAAGATGCAAGCTGAACTTGAAGGAATGACTTGCTTGTTGGTGATCCTGACACAAAGAGTGGGAAGATTCCAATAGGTAAAGGCTTGGTGATAACATGGCAATGATACAGCGGTGAATCCAAGTTGGGGTGTGCTGGTTTTCTGGTCTGAATTGGTTCTGGGTGGGTCTGAACCTTGAAGATACTGAAAATGTGAACTCAGTGTCTACTGAGAGAATTTTTAGAGTTGGATTACATAATCACAATGTGTTCATGTGGTAGAGAGTTTGAATTCTAACTTGGTTGATATTTCACAAGGTACGGTAAAATATTACAAAGTCTATGAAGGAGAAGAGTAGTGTAAAGGTGTTTAGTGGTGAATGAGGTGAAAATTAACAGAGGAATTCATTTCTGAAGTCAGAATGTAATAAAATATTGAGATGAAAAAGTTACAGTAGGAACTTTAGTGAAAAAGGAGGACTTAAGCAGTCTGTTGGCCAGCTTGGCTGGCAATTTTTAACAATCAAGTAAAATATATTCCTGCGGGGGAATATTTCCCCTTTAAGCATTTGATGTGCTTCCTTGTGCAACAGTTTTTGTTGGAAGGAAAATCAGAGGGGGAGGAGTGCTATTGTGAATGGGGCAAACCGTTCTGGGAACCCACGCTAAAGTTCCACATTTAGGACAATGGTAACCTTCAGCTGTTAATTCTCCATCACAGGCAGATCTCTCAGGGAACTCATGACATTTCATTGTCTCAAATTTTTCCAATGAGACAAGAGTGTTTCCCATTTCAATGATACGTAGTGTTCTAGGCTTTTTATCCAGGCATTCTGGACAACGCTTACCTACCCCTCTGTTAAATGAAGCCAGGACTGGGTAGATGGAGAGAGTGCACACATACACCATGCAGAGAATAGAGCTGATTTGCATTGTGACACTATGGGTAGTAGTTGGCTTTCAACTGGAATTGAACTTGGAACCTGAGGGTGATTATTGATCTTTTTGTGGTGGGCTCTTGAAGCAGTACAATTATACCACTATGCCAGCAAGGGGTGATGAAAAATACTGTGTATGTTATTAAATTAGGGGTTTCATTTCCAGTCAAGTGAAATACTTGATATTTTTCAATTTCAATAGCCCTGTACTTCACATTGGACCTGCATCAGTTGAATCTGAACCACCATCAGCAAAATTCTGCAACAAATTTAGTGCTACATCAAAAATCATTCACATCACAATTTCTCTTCTTACTCCTGACCCCAAAATACTAACTGAGTTGCACCTCACTGCCTCCCCAACCCTCATTTATGCACCAATTATCTTAAATGAAGAAAGCAATCCAATGCCTCTTCTTTATGTGTATAGTTTCTCACACTATCTTTATGGGCATGAACATCCCCTCAAACAACCAACAGTAACTATATCTGATTCCAGTCATGTTAAATGATTGGCTAACCCATCAAAAATGAGACATCCTTTTCAGAAAAATGATCAAGTTTAACAAGTTGCTTGGACTTCTCTCAACCCCTCAATCAGCGGTGGGCCGCTACCTTTTTTGGCCCAAAAAGCGTAGTGTAGTGGTGCTTTTTTTGCATCAAAAAAATGTAGTGGTAGTGCTTTTGTAGCACATTTTTGCTACGCTACGCTGCGCTACAGCGCTTTTGTTGAGTTTTGAACCGTACGCGATGTTGAATTACTTGGAACATGTCACAACACTCTAGTATTCGTGAAACCCCGTCCTTCTCTCTCAGTACATCCGCAGCAACTAAGTCAACCGGTTAGGGTTGAGTTATTGGATTCTGTTAAAAGAACTCCATTCTCCCTGTATTCAATCCCCAGAATCGACAAGACTCTCGACTCAAATTTAAGATCATACTCAAGACTCACCTCAAGACTACGATCCATCCTCTAGACTCGACGAAGTAATGTCCAATTCTCTAACCTGACTGTAGCGTCAGCTCTAACTCATTTCGAACTCTCACTTCCTCAAGATTGATTTCAGTGACCTCACGAAATCTAGTCCAGGCTTCCTTTCCACTTTTGCATCACACCAATCATTGTGTTGTTTGTTCCTCTCTCTTTTTCTTTTTTCTTTCTCATTTCTGTTTCTGAATTCTCTTGTTGTTTGATGAGGAAATCACTAATCCCCTCATCATTGCTTTCTTTTTAGTTTGCTTCCTTCTTACCTTGTGCTTCCCTCTTCCTTATCAAGTCCTCATTTTTTCCTATCTCTTTGTCCATCATTATTGGTATGCTTCAATTTCTTATCTCTTCTTATTTGTCTTTTCTGATTCTTTTCTTGTCTAATCTTGGTTGTTCTTTTTCAGTCTGGTTTTGGTTTATCAGAAATCTAGTCTAAAATTCTTCAGCTTTTAGCGGTAAAACAGCCAAAACTTGCTAAAAAGCGCTGTAGCGCAGCATAGTGGGCCCTTTTTTGCGACCCACACACGTAGCAATAGTGGCCACACACGTAGCAATAGTGGTGTTGTGGCGGAATTCCACTGCACTACGCTTAGCACTAATGGGAATTCCGCTGTGTTACGCTGCACTAACCACTACAGTTAGTGTAGCGGCCCACCATTACCTCAATACTCCAACTCTTGCTGAAATCCTATATCTCACAAAAATGAATTATATTGTTGATGGAGACATCAGGCAGGTAATAAGAACAACATAAGAGTTTTTTTTTTCTTCTTCAACTTGTGCTTGTGGAAATCCAACAAGCTGGTATAGATACGTATGCACCAGCTCACCAGCAAGCAGGTACTTCTTAAACCAACAAGCTGGATTCATTCTGAATTGTTGGAAGGGATTCCTCCTGATAAAATGGATTCATTTCAACTTGTTTGGATGAATTCCTCCCAACAATCTGCTGCTGTCCAAAGTTGTCACAAAAAAAACCAAATGATCCAATGGCATTGGTTTCTATTTTATAATTTCACAAGCAAAAATAAAAACTTTACCCAAAATAACACAAACTTCTTGACCTACAGTTGCGGACAGCATAAACCAACCCTGCCCCATCCACAAAATTCAAAATTGACACATAGAGCCTATCCACACTAGGGGGCATGTACCATCACACCTCATTTTTCCTGCAGTTTTGAACTTGTCTGCATATGTAGAGTTCAAAATTGTAACTGCTAAGCTTCTACACAAGCGGTTTTTTTTTCTTTTTTTTTCTTTTGGCCTCATGCATGTATTCTGACATGCCTCAATCCATAATTATGGGGTTTAAAAGTGTGTATTCATGGGTTTATATTGGGGAATTTTTTACAGTATGTGTCAAACATCTGGAAGGCTAAAAAGAGCCTAATAGTCTGGTACAAAAAAGAACTTGATTTTCTGGCTTCCGAATTTGGACATCCAAAGAATCCTGGGTCATTCTATGCTATCGGCAACTGCATGCATAATTTGTTTTTGCTTTATTTTTTAAAAAAATAAGATAGATTTAATTATATTGATCAAAATAATATTTTCAGCATCTGTGACAAACAAAATCATCAGACTAAGCCTTTAAGATATTTCCTCAAAAGAGGATAGATTCAAATTTCAAGTGACTCAAGATAGATAAACAAACATGCAGCCTGCTGAACAGGTTTGATTTTACATTTTATTTTATCATCAGAGTCTGTCACTCATGGTAAAGAATACCATAACTTACACAGAGAATGAAGTGAGCAAGTTATAATATCAAAGATTGCTGTTCCAACCAGGTGTGAAATCATTATTAGGTATTATGATCATAGGATGGCTGGATTGGTTATGTGCAGATTTTTCCACTTGGCCCCCCCTCCCTCCCCAAATGGATAATATTACAGTGGGAAAGAATAAGGAGTCAACAACAGCATTCTTGAACATGTTGCAATTAGCAGGGTTCACAATGGCATTTTTTCTTGCACCTGTTATATTTTTTCTTGCTCACACATTGCTGACATTAATTTTCTCATCAAAAATTCAAAATCTGACACTAAATTTTATGCCAGCAGCAGTGCTGCAGCTTCTTGCAAGAACCAAGAGAGCTTTGCGCCAGAAGCTATTGTGAGCCCAGCTATTGGATTTGAACAACATGCTTAAACACTTTGCTCGTTTCTATTATTCTCATGTGTCTGTCATATCTTGAAATGCTATGTATTACATGACAACAAAGTTTTCACAATTTACAGGGCTTTCCTAAGCCCAACAACCCGCTTCGACAATGCCAAGTCTTAAACTTAAAAATTCTTTCAAAAAAATCATCTAGACTTTTTTTTTCATTTTCCTTTTAAAAGTAGTATGTACATGACAGATAAAACAAACAAACAAACAAACAAACAAACAAAAAAGTTCCACCTTCCAAAGAATAAAAATAAGAAACAACCTCCAACAACGACAATGACAACATGGTATTTAATCCTTGTGTTAAATTATATTACAAGACAAATGGTGATCAAGACAACAACAACATCAATCCAGTACATTTGAACTAAGATAAAGAATAAGAAGAAACAAAGGGTAAGTGTAGTAGATTGCAGATAACAATCTCTACTCAAAGAATTTGTTAAAAAAGAAGTCAAGGGTGTCAATGAGAAAAGTCAAGAGCTGAGTAGATAAGGAAACATTTTTATTGGAATGTTGACATTTTCCTTTCAGAAAAGTTTTGAAATTATTGCAGCTTTTTCAAATTTTAGTTTCTGTCTGATGGAGGAAGATAAGCAAATAAGTGGGGGCAGTGACGAGAGCTAGTTAGATGACTTGATCTTGGAGAAGATTGACTTGATTGAACGAAAGAGAGGGCAGATCGAGAGCTTCGTTGGAGAGATAACTAGAATGCGTAGAGGAGGAGGACAGGCTAAAGTTTCGACTGCGACCAGCGTATTGCGATAGTTCAAAATCTGTAGGAAGAGCTTGAGAAGAACCGCAACTTCCGAGACTACTTGCCATACCGGGGCCTTGATCCGACTGAGAAGAGCTGCCTGCCCTCGATCCGCAACATCCGCCGATTGATCCCTGTGAGTGATGAGACTCTGATCGTCCATCTGCGCCGCTACTTCCACCGCAACACCCAGCCCGGTTACCGGGATTAGTGATGAGTGAGACTGTGCTTTGATTATTACAACAGCCGCCAAGACGAGATTGTGAATGAGGGGGGCCTTGAGAAGTCTCGCCGGGCTGCCCACCCATGGCATAGCCGCCAACCAAATTGATGTTGGTCTCAATGCTCTGGGGACGAACATTACAGCAGCCAGATACGCTCGAAGTTGGTACAGAAGTTTGAAGATACCGTTGATCGTCGGAGATTGCGTTGAAGCTCTGCTCAAACAAAGAAAACGAAGCTTCTGTAGAGGTAGAAGGGATTCCAAAGGTTTCACTAACGCCAGGGATTTGCATTTGCGATGGTGGCAAGGATTGCGGAAGGATTGCGGGGTCGGCTGATGATGAGGATCCCATTTTGGGGAAACTCTCCGAGATGGGTGAAAGGTTTAAGAGGCCATTGACAGTGGGTAAGTCCAGTCCAGCAATACATCCTTCCGAGTTTCTCATACTTGTAGGACATTGTACCTCTGAACCAGTTTGGAACTTCAATCCCAAAGGATCATGTAAAACACAACCTACATCGAAAGGAAAGAAAACGATGAGAAGGCAGTTCTCGATGACATGTAAAAAGGTGAGACAGAGAAACTCATGACTCTTTTACCTGGACAAGGGCAATGGATACCACAAAAGCAGAGGGCAGTCCCAGCTGTTCGGGGAGTAAATAAAGCTGGTTGGGTACTGAAAGATGAGGACTCAAAAGTTGAGGGATGTTGGGTGACATTGGGGTTGAATGTGGAATCGGTGACGGTATTTGGATGGCCTTGAGAGACAGGAGCGATTGATGGTAACGGGAAGGTATTGCTGGTCGTGTAAGGGTGAAATGTGGTGGCAACTGTTGATGGGAATGAACGACTGGGGCCACTCTGACTGTCAATGCTAACAGGCTCAGTGGAAGTTGAACCGGCACAGCAACTTGATCTTGAGGATGACTGGATCAGCGGACCATCAACTGGTTGTTCAGCATTGATTTTTCCACTCGGGGTATCGCCGTGATTGATTTTCTTCTTGGGATTCTTAGCCCTGGTGCCAACTGTTGGATGTGCTGGAGCTGCACAGCAGCATTTACCACCGGTCGAACATGTACATGGATTGAGGATCTGGTTGACTAGAATCATCAAACCAACATATTGGTATCAGTTTTCATTTGCACTTCCCGAGACAGCTTTATACACGTTCTAAGCAAGTAGATGGAGAGGGATAAGAACATACCTAGTTGGGTGGTGTCTACTTCATCTTGCTCGAGTAGACTTTTTGTACCGTTCGGTAGTATCCTCATTGGACGCGCTGAAGACAAGATGGGATAGGATGTACAATTAGTTTGATGAGAAATGATACGGAACCTTTATGGGGGAGAGATCACTGAACTGGTCTGGGTTGGCCTGTCGCCGCACATGCACTTCGAATGCACCCTGCTGGTCTTCCGCAACTCTCTGCAATGAGCACACTGAGTGGGTGGCCTGCCTGTACGTATATCAAACAATATTCATCAGCAAGACTGATGATGATAGTTAGCTTGAAAGCAATCGAGGGAGGTTCACCTTTTTTACCGATTTCTACCAAAGTCCGATCGGTGTGAGAACAGCTAGTCGATCGATGACCTTTGATGCATACTCCACAAGCGAATTTTTTACCTGCATATATCTACTTAGTCAGACAGACCAGTATTTTTCGAGCTGTACATAGAAGAATGGATGGATGGGATTGCTTACCGTCGATGATGACCATCTCGGTATGTATCGGGTTCGGAGTTGAAGTTTTCCAGTTCCGTTCGTGTTTCCGATTGAAGTGGTTGGCAAGTTGGTTGGTTCTGAATGGGTTGTTGTAGTTCAATCCAGCTGATGAAACCGAGGGAATTGGAAAAACGGTCAACAGGAAGACAGACTGAGACCAGTCCCAGGCTGGCGGGATGTCACCAGAAAGACGCCTGACACCCCCAACTCAGCTTAACTCAGCCAGTCTGCCACTCAACCGACATCCCATCTACATAAATTCAATACACCATTTGTTTACTTCGCAACCCACAAAACGTTAATTTGTTGAGATGACAAGCAAGCACGGCCACACAACGCATGAGTAGCAGTACAAGCCCTGCGTTGGATTGTGCTTGGGTGAGAGAAAGCTCCTTGTGACGACTTCTAGGCGAAATACTTGTGACAGGACCCAGGAAACCCCCTGTAGAGGTGGGTAACCAAAATGTATGAATGGATTTTCACCCTACACAACCACTTTGACTGAACATCAGATGTGGTATCTGGATAGTTGCCACATCAGGACATATACATACTAAATGTGCATCATGTACATGTCTTCTTTAGTGGCTAACCTCAACCAGTGAGTTTTAATAACCGAAAAACTAAAAAAAAAAAATGTATGAATTTTTTTTCAGATTTTTTTTTTTTTTAGTTTTTTGCTTCTCAAGGCTCACTGGTGAAGATTTACCACTAAAAAGTTTATGGGCAGGATGCACCTTCAGTATGTACATGTCCTGATGTGGAAACTACCCAGATACCACAACTGATGTTCAGTCAAAGTGGTTGTATACATTTTGACGTTTTGGTTACCCACCTCTATAGGGTGTTTCCTGGGTCCTCTTGTGACTTGGTTCCGAAAAGCAGAAGGTACATAATTCCAGCTCTACTGTAATAAACAAGTTGAGCGTCCCGGCGTCCAGTCTCTGATGAAGAAGTCTCGCATTCAAGCCAAGCAGCAGATGATTCCAAGGACACCTGAGGTGATAACTCCGTCACCCCCTATGTATTGTAGCCGAATTGGTCTGCTGGTGCCTGCTGCTGCGATCCAGACACGCTTGCTTTGTGCAAGAGACTTGCACATTTATGATAGGAGCCAACCACAACTCAGACAGGGTGATCTTATCAGGTCATTTCCACAGTCATACAGCTGTCAGGCTGGCCATCTTGGGGTTTAATGGAGTAATAACCTCCGAGGATGGGTAACTGCAGTTATCAAGTCTTGCCACCTGCTCAGTTTCCTCATGTTCCTGACTGGAGCCTCAACTTATTAGGAGCTGTCAATGTTCCTTGTCTTGCCCTGCACACATAGCTCATAGGCTTGCAAATTTGCTACTCGGGGGTGGGATGTATTACCATCTCAATCCGTCTTCCACCATGCCCTAGTTGAAACCATGCAGTCGCTTAACAGAAGGCCTGAGATGAAATAGCAGCATGGATGGAAAGTACTTGGCCCTTTTACGGTGTTGGTTATTTCGCGCAGGGTTTCCAATCTCAATCTTATTCTGCTTAGTGACTATGGCGGATTGTTTCATTCTGAGAGTGGGAAGTATATTTATCAAGTCATCATACCGAAAGAGGGCAACACAACATATCATAGGTAAGTGGATTCGAATGACAAGTTCATCATTTCTTCTTGGCGGCGTCTTCCTCCTCCTATTGATTGAATAGAGGCGGAAAAAAATGGAAACACAATCAGAACCAATTTTGATAAGCAAGTAGGGGGATGTACTGACCTTCTTTTGTTTACGTGCTTTCCAAACACCAGCTTGTCGCTGGGCAGCACGAGCCTGTCGAAGAGCTCGGAATGCATTGAATTCAAGTTCCTCGGAAGTGATGGCACGAGGAGCTTCGGGCTTGGTACCGGAGGGTAGGGGAAGAGGACCTGAGATGTCTTGGGTGGTAGCAGCGGAAAGGTCCTGGAGAAGGGGTGATATGGTGGATGTGTTAGTGAGGGTATAAATGAAATTTAGCACTTGAGAGAATCTCACAGTTGAATCGGCTTTGCCAGGTTTCTTGGCATTCTTGGGGAAGATGATCAGTCGTTCCTTGTAGGCTTTGAGGCGGTCCACATTGCATGATACACCCTCTTCGCTCTTGTTTCGGCGACGGTGGTCGTAAGGAACGCCGATCGATAGGGCTTCCTTGCGGCGGATACCTGCAGCTGCAAGCTCAGCGGAGGTGAAACCACGACCAGCACGGATGCGTCGGTTGTAGCGAACCGTCTGGCATCGGACAGCGGGTCGGAGGAGGGAGGTGGGTCTGTTATAGATAGATGGCAGGCGAGGAACGGGTTGGTAAGATGTTGGACATGTTGGTCGGATGAGAGTTCAGAGGGTTCGAGATATTCGGCTTACCTCACACCGGCAGCAGCAGCCTTGGCTTGACGGGCATTGCGTCTGCGCTTCTTGGCACCTGGTTGGTCGAACCAGGTTTTGACCCGACGTTGCCAATCCTTCCGGAAATGATTCTTGTGTAGGACGTTGTTTCCCCTGAAACCCATCGTGAAAGCTTGAAAGGTGAAGTTGAGTTAGAACCAGAGACGAGGGGAAAGACAGAACAGGGAAAGCGAGACTGACTTTTGCTGATCGGCCGATAGACTTGAGGCGGGCGTGCGGACTGGAGGGGCTTGGGGCGAAACGACTGAAGGCCTGCCGGTTCAGCAGCAGACCTAACCTAGTGAGAGCGCTGCGGACTACGCACATAATTTCATCGGGCCGGACGACTTCCCGCTCCGCCCTTCCGCATTCCGGCTCGCCCAACACAACCGGGATTCGGTCGTTCCTTCGGAGCCCCAGCTGGCGGGGTTGCACCGAATCAATTATTTATGTATTCAACCTGCCTCCATTGCTTCAACCGTACCGCAATGACTTGTGAGGACTTGGTCCTTGGATCGATTTGACCTGGGTTGCAACCTGCATGATCACCGCGAGCAACACTTGCGGTCTTGTGCCTCCACACAGGCAGCCAGTGAAATCTGTTGACCGGGTTGGCCAGATCTAATCAAGTGTTCAGGATGGGCAGCTAAGCCGTGTCCAATGCAAATCCAGAGATGGAGTTTCCAAAAAGAAACATCAACCTTTTTTGATGATCAGAAATCAAGGAGTGAACAACTTCCCATCAACATCTGCGGGTCTCCCAGAGCCTGTTTAGAGCCTCCAAATTCAAATTTCCCTGCAAGAATCAAGAGTTTTTGGGTCTAGATTGAGTTATGTGAGGGTCCCAGTCCTGAAAGGGTGTCCTAAGGACTTCCCGTTGCATTTTAGAGCGCTTTTTAGACCTCTCTCAGTCTTAAATTAAGAAAGTAATTAAGATTCCAACCAGCTCATGTGAGAACTATTGCTGGGAGGCTTCAGAAAAAAGATTTTTTTGATAAAAAAATTTATATCTAGGGGGTGTAAAACAACCTCTGGGGGGGTTGTAGATTGTGACAGGAAGTCATCCAGTAGTGGATGACTTCCTGTTTGCATTTACAACCCTCTTGATTAATAGATGGATGACTTCCTGTCAATATCTGCAGAAAGCTAGATTTCCCAGCAAAATTCTAGACTTTTCTGGTCTAAATCAACATCTGCAAGGGTCCCAGATCCAACGGTGTGGAACTGCTCAGCAAGTGAGTAAAGAGCTTGGAGGGGATAAAATAGCTAATAAGACTATGGAATAGTAGAATGAGTATCTGTGTGTGGGTGAGACAGCCCTCCTGTCTAGCTTGCGGGAAAGTTACACTAGGAAAAATAAGAGTGTGGCTTATTTCTAAATTTATCTTAGTGTTGATACTACTTTTATTGTTGCTTAAGAATACCTGTTGAAGAGTTAAGGAGTTTGTGGGGTTTTCTGAGTAATAAGGGTTTCTGAAGGGTTTCTCTGTTAAATCTGGTATAATTTCTCTCTGGTTCTCTGATCTTAATAAGACTCTCTGGACTCTGATAAAAGGTACACTTATTTCTCTGATATCTGTTTCAAGAGAGTTGAGGATGGCTAAGCAATATTTCTGAATTACTTTTCTATGGCCAAAAAAATGAGATAAGGGAAGTTCAAAGGGCTCTAATAATATCTGGATTTCTTAATCAAGGGGTGATGAAAGCTGAGTAATATCTCTGATTACTATTCTGTAGCTAGCATGAGGAAGGAAGAGTAAAACATGGGCCAGAAGAGCCTCTATTTATAGACAAATGGTTCTGCAGTACATGAGAATTTGGCCTGAACACAAGTGCGTCTAAGAAGAGTACTTCTAGAGTGGATTTTACTACTCTGAGATGGTCTAATCTGATATGAACTAATCTCTAAGTGCCCTTCTAATACAAGAGGTTGTAATTCTAATATATGAGGCCTATTCTTAGATTGATTGCTATGAGAATGGTATTCTTAGACTAATTAGCATAAAAGTTATTTTCTAGAGTTAGTCTGTGAAGTACTTTCTGATCAGTAGCTTGATTTACTAGTCTAGGATGAATGTAATATAGTTCTACAGGTTATTTGTATAATTTTTATCCATGAGAATTTTAATATCTTAGGCCTGGTTTGTGATTTAATTAAACTACAATTTAGCCCAGTAATATTTATGTGGTTTATTCCCTAATCTACCTCTTCTCCTCTAATGTTTTAATTACTATTATGTGTAATAAAGTGTTTTTATTGATGTGGTAGGTGTTTGATTGTTCTTACCACAACGGGAAGTCCTCCAATAACACCACAAGGGTCTTAATTTTTAGCAAAAATGATACTTCTTCAGAAGCCTTGTACCCTCATATGAGCTAGTCGGGGTTTTGATTAGAGTGTTAATTTAGAACTGAGGGGGTCTAAAAACACTCAAGTGTGGCAGGAAGTCCTCCAGTACCAATGTAAAAATTTTGGACCTGGAAGTAAATTCAGGTTGTTCTTGCTTCTTACAGCAGTGGGCCGCTACGCTACGCTTTTGGCCCAAAAAGTGGCGCTGTTTTGCATCAAAAAAATTTAGTGTTAGCGCTTTTGTAGCGGATTTTTGCTACCCTACGCTGTGCTACAGCGCTTTTAGCGGTAAAAGCAGCCAAAACCACTAAAAAGCGCTGTAGCTAAGGATGATAATCGGGCGGGCTCGGGCTGCCCACGGGCCAGCCTGTCTCGGGCCTGCCCTTTCTCGGGCGGGTCGGGCCGGGCTGCACTCAGAGAATCGGCAGCCCGACCCGAACCCGTATACAATTCGGGCAGCCCGCGGGCCGCCATCTAATCGGGCTTTCGGGCTTATGGCGGGCTGCCCGCAGGCCTTTCCGGGCTGCCCACGGGCTTGTTGTATTAAAAAGACTGCATGCAAAGAGAAAGACAAACCAGATTTATTTCTTGTATTTTTTCAATCAAACAATTCAAACTTTGGGAACAAATCGTGTATGTGGATGGAGAAATGAAAATGAAACCCATGAATGACGCCGTTTAAATGTATATGGATATGTAATAGATAGATAATAGATGAGATCACATTCAGAGAAAAGATAAATTGAATCCTAAGGATCTTGTGCGTTAATCCAATCTTGAGTGCATAATAAAGCCTCCACTGTATCATCGCTGAGCCGCATTCGGTAATCATCAAGGACCCGCCCACCCGTGGAGAAAGCTGATTCGGAAGCGACCGACGTCATCGGAACCATGAGCAGGATACTTGCAACTTCAGAAAGAGATGGGAACCAAGCGGCATTAGACCCCCACCAGTTCAAGATGTTGAATTCTTCATTGTCAGTTAGAATCAAGTTCCGCTCTTCTAGATAGAGGTCTAACTCGGCTGCAGGGGCGTTTGTCGGAGCTGATTCCATGGTTCCAGCCATGTACTGATGAAATCCAGAGATGTCATTGCTGAGCATGCTTTTTGATTTCGGGGGTTCTGGTGCTGGGTTGGAGACTGATGGAGTTGGTGGAGACGGCACAAAGTGGGTCCAGAGAGACAAGAATGATGACCTAACTTTTGTCATAAAGTTATCGGCTTCGGCGTCCGGGATTAATTGCTGTTTAGTCAGAGAGTACCGAAGATATCACATCTTGTAGCGGGGGTCAAGAAGGAGGCCCATCGCTGCTAGCAACGGTGCCACAGATACGAGACATGTATTTGTATCGGATTGTATCGTATTTATTTTGAGCCTGATACCGGTATCAGTATTTCCTTGGTTGGTGAAAAAATACATTGTATCGGATTTGGATTTAAAAATGAAAAAAAAAAAATCGTCTTCGTTTTTTTCGTTTTTTCTTCAATACAGCCAAGTATCTTATGTATCAAATACGGTTTTGGTGGGATCAGTCATCTGAGACGATACAGAATACATTTCTCACTTTTCAAATACAATACATGTATATGTCTCAGGAAAGTGAGACAACACAAATCCGGTATTTTTGGGTATTCCAATTCTGAGACGATACAGATAAACGCCTGATACCGTATCGTATCGTCTCTGTGGCACCGTTGCTGCTAGTTCCTTCATCGGACCCCAATACTTGTCGAATTTCTCTTTCATGGGATTAATCATATCGCCCAGCTGTGGAAGTTTCTCGATGAGCTTGTTATCTTGCTTGAGTTGCCTTTCAATTGACATCATGGCTTGGTAAGCGTAGTTGATGGTGGGATGGTGTGATGCACTCAAAATAAGAGTTGCTGAGGAAGGGGAAATAATCAGCAGCCAAAAATCAGTCCACAGGCAAAGGGAAAATAAAATGAAATCAAGTAAAATGTAGATCACCTTGGTAGAAAGGTTCAAGGAATTCTGCCATGACTCTCAGTTCGTCCCACTGATCCTCGGTTGGACAATCCTCAAATTTGTCGTCCTGAATGGAGAGTTCTTGGAAAGCAAGCTTGTCAGGTATGTGGCGTTCCATCTAGTCGGGAGATCCTTTGAAGGATGCTTCATTGCAACGTCCATCCCAACACTCTCGAGGGCCTTGTTGAAAGCATCCATTCGGGATGAGGACCCGTGGATCCAGAGAAAACATGTTCGGAGTTGTTCAACAGCCTTACCGATGACTTTCATTCCGTCCTTGACAACCAAGTTGATGACATGGGCTAAACATCGCATGTGGAATTGAGGCGTAGTTGCCAAGGTTGATTGGCCAGCCCGACGGTCGTTGATAAATCACTGGACCCGCGTCATTGCTGTATTATTAGAGCTTGCATTGTCAAGGGTGACAAACGCAATCTTATTGATAGCCTTCCAATCGAGAATTACTTGACAGAGTCGCTTGGAGATCGCTTGGCCTGTGTGTGGTGGAGGAAGCAATCGGAAACTGATGATTGACTTGACTAGTTCCCACTTTTTGTTGATGTAGTGCGAGGTGACAACCATATAACCTGTGAGGTCAGTAGCCGTCCATAAGTTGGTAGTGAGAGCGATCCGATTCGCCTGTTTGGCTATTGTAGCAATCTGACTAGCCTTCATTGAGTTGAATAGCTTGAGGCAATCGTTTCTGACTGTCTGGCGACCGGGCATAACAAACTGTGGCTGGACGGTATTCATGAGTTTAATGAAGCCTTTGTGCTCGGCGATTGCAAACGGATACTCGTGTCGAATGATCATTTCAGCAAGTGCTTCTCTAGACTTTTCTTGCAAGTAGACCCAGACGCGGTTGGAAGAAGTTTGAACGGTGCTCGTGAATCCTAAACGTGTTTGGCAATCGGGTGCAACAACCCCT